TCAATCAAAGTTTAGAGTCAAATCTTTTTCAACCGATCTTTAGCAAAATTGAACCTTTTTTCTTTTCTCCAACCTTTGCAAGACCATGGCAATTTGTTGTTCAATGTTAAAAAATTGAACATTGTAGTGTGCAATCTATATTATTTTTATTAATATAATTTTTTGTCAAAACAATAGTATCAATATATAAAATTTCTCTTTCATTTATGATTTGAGAAATTTAAATTATTAGAAATATTTGAAATAGATTACAGATATTACTAAGTGTGCTTTCTTATATTATTTGAAAAAAGAAGTTTTTAAGCTTTATTTAGCTTTTTTTTAGTCAATTTTTTCATGTTCAATAATGTTTTTTCCATGTTTCTTCAATTTTTTATCTTTTAGAATTTTTTGGTCGAAAAGGACCTAATAAAATTGAAAAAATAAATAAAAAGTTCACCAAAGAAGAAAAAAGACAATTAAAAGTTTGCTTCCAAACAATAATAAATGTCTACCCTAACAAACTTTTCTAGAGCAGTCTTTGCTGCCAATATAAATTGGATAAGTTCGATGGTCATTGGGGCCTCCTAAAAGGATCGACTATATTCATCGAATTGTTCCCAAGGATCAAAACGGCCAGGTATTAATGGAATTCCTTGTCAGCTTATAAAGAGAATCAGAAATTGAACTTCTGAATTTTTTTTTAAGCACTAACAAATGCCAAAAACTCATCACTAAACATATTCTAACCATATGTATCACAATTTGAATGTTGGTAACAGTTTTTAATCAATGTTGTGGCATCTAAAAACATATTTTTGGAAAGTTATATTGCTTTTTAAGTTTCAACGCAAAAAATGTGGGAGAATTTCTTCTAGTAAGGGAATTTCATTATCTTGGATAATTAGAAATGCTACTAGAATATATAATTTATAAATTTATAATTCATAATAATAAATCAAACATACGCCAATATTTTTTTATACGGTAAATTACAAATACACCTCATGAGATTTGCTTAAAATACAAATTGCCCCCTATTATTCTTGGAATTACATCAGCCCCTTAAAATTTCTAATCACATAATAATTAACCGTTTTTGTTAATCAACCAACTCAATTAACAATTTTTAATGACATTAGCAATATAATCAGTTAACGCCTCTGGTAATTTCATTGTTGTATAGAAGCATAGCGAAAATTTTTATTTTTTTGGTCAAATCTTTTAAATAACAAATTCTGACAAGGTGTATTTGTAATTTCTAAAATCACAAGGGGAAATTTGTATTTTAAGCAAACCTCTTGGGGTGTATTTATAATTTACCCTTTTTATATGATCATACAAATAATACAACAATACTAACGGCTAATATATGCTCTAATATAGCAACATACTGCCATACATCATTCTACTACATGGAAACGAGGCGCCCATTAAACATTCAATAACAATTCACAATTTATTGATGAAACATCAAGCTTGAATCTTTTCAAGCTTTAAATGAGTAGAACAATCCATTTAAAAACAAATGACGAGCAAGAGCACATAAAAAAAGGAAGAAAAAAGTGTGAAATGTGACCTAGATCATGTTTGTGGGTGCTAGATGCTAACAAAGAGATCATCAATTAAATTAATGATCGTAGCAGCTGTATCAATTAAAGTAATGGTTGCATTGCCAAATATGGCCCCATACAACATCGATATGAAAATTTGTGAGCCTAGTGTTACCAAAAAAATGCTAATACCCTAGCGAATTACATTATCGAAGTGATTACAAAAGCTTTATCCAATTTGTTTCCTAAAGGTCAAGCTAAAATTTAAGATGAGTTAAGTTTTGACTGGACAAAACATCAAGAATGTGTTATAAGTCAACACCCATAAAAATGTGTTACTATATGATTTTTTTTTTAATAAAAAATATATATATTTATTGGATACTTAATTATTAAAAGAAAATTATTCTAGAATTACCTTAAATTTTTATAGTGTAATCTATACAAGTCTACCCACATTTTAGAGCATGTGGTGTACTATGTTCTTGTTCCCGTTCTACATGCTGGAACAATCCACGTTCCAAGCCGTTACATATATATATATACTCCCTCCGTCCGAAAATATTAGTCCCTTTTGGAGAATCCAACTTTTTTTTGGTAGTACAAATATTACCTTTCCAAAACTACCCTTTGGTAGTACAATTATTACACTTCAAAAATAACGTTAATGAATTTAAAAGAAGGGCAAAATAGGAAATTCGTGTTATTTTAGTCCTTGATTTTTGAAAAGGGACTAATGTTTTGGAACAATTTTTGGCTCCGATATAAGCATGTGTATCCAAATTAAAGCATACAAATACCGTTACAATACTGTTATGGACTGGCAATATTTTAAACCATGGTAATACCTACGAACAGCATATTTTACAAACTTTAAATATCTTATAGTTTAAGTTAACAAGAAGTAATATCTACTATAAATAAATATTTTTTTAAAAAAAATTACAATTTCTACATAATTACAATAAGAAAGGCAAAATCAATTTTACCCCAGTATGGCCCCTGGGCACTTCACCCCTAACAAATAAAAAAAAAGCCAAAACGCCCTCTAGTGGTTTTGAATTAAAGGGCAACGCTAACGCTGCTAATGAAGAAAGTAAAATAACCTTAATACCCCTCTAGCTTCTATTTTTCCATCTCTTATCTTCCTTTTCTCTCTTCTCTATTATAGGCATTTCCTTAAAAGGCATCTTTATACAATCTTACGTTTGTACATACCATACTTTCATCACTTGCCACCTCACAACCACACAAAAAAAAATGGTTTGAATTATCTTTTGCAACAAAGAATAACAAGTAAAAATAATATTATTATAATCAAATTGGTGACAGGTTAAAATCAGATTGTTTACCATTATTATTATTCGATTATCAACACAGTTGAATTAACATGCAATATAACGTTATCAAGCTGGTAAACCAGTGGGTCTAGATAGGTAAGGGATTAACACTAAATTAGAAATATGGAGAGAAGACTTGCCAGGCAGCTAAGAAATAAAACTGAATATATGGAATAATTTTAGTGGATAGTAGAAGTAGAAATAACAGAGAAGCGAAGATTGGCCCAGCCTAAAACCACCTTAACAAGGTTGTCTCATTCTATAAACAACTCTACTTTGTTGTTTCTTAATGGCCAAAGCCCTATAGGATGGAAAGCTTCAAGCCACTTACGTGCCATGAAACCATTTTCTCTACGCTCTCGTTGAGATATCAACTCTTACAACAAGTTGATAAAATGCTTCTATATACTCCCCAGCACCCCCCAACTGCTTGAAGTTACGCAAGATATTGTACAAAGTTGCATCTAGTTACAAGACAAAAATCGCTCTTTGAGTTCATTATCTCCCAATCTCATATCTTTCCCTTGCCTGATCATTGTCTACTAATTTGCATTTGCTCCCACCAAGCGGAAGCTCTCCCCTTGAGGCTTATTGATACCAATTTCACCTTCTTCTCTTCCAAGACATCACAATATTTAAACACTCATTTAATAGTGTTTATCCAATCCACAAACTCATCTTGATTGAGACTTCCATGGAAGCTAAACCCTGATGGTGTTCTCCTATTTGTACTCAAAACGTCCTGGATCGGCTCAGCGCCCTTGCAAAGCACCAAAATGATTCTCAAAATGAGGTTAAGTTTCCTTGGAAGCATCACTACCATCGGTAGGAGCTTGCAAAGCACGGAATCGGTTAATACGGCAATTTGCTTTCTCAACTCATCAATCTCATCTCTTTGATGTGGATTCACATTGTTTCGTCCAAATGGAAGCTTCACCTCAAGTTCTTCTCCCAAATTAGCAGCAAAAGTCCTGCCTCGGCCACCTTTTCAACCTCTACCTAGTTAAGCATTAATGTTGCAACACCCTCAGAATCAATCACAACAGAATTCTGACTATCTCAATGAACCAAGCCACACAGAGACAGTAAATTGAACCAAAAGCAAACTGGCTCCAATCAATCAACTAGAATCCAGCATGCCAAATAAGGTCCAAATGTTGAAAGCAAAACAGAATCAAAATCAACGACAGGCTCGAACTCAAAGAAGCTTGATTAGGGCTTGGTCAAAATTCGCAACTTCGAATCACTCCTCAATCAAGTAGTTTGATTGAAGTTCTTGCAGGTCCGAAATCTACCAGAATCAAAGCTGGAGACAGCTTTAGTCGAAGTTGAAAGAATAGAGATGAATATGCAATTGAAATCGAAACTTCAATTACCGTTCAACGAATTGAATGCAATCAAAGTCGGAGATTGATTAAAGATCTAGAATCGATGTCCGATTGAGGTCAACCCTCAGGCAGAGTCAAGATCAAAATCGAAAGTCATGTCGAGCAGGCATCAAAGACAGATAGACATATCGATCTTCTCGTAGTCAACGTCGAAGCTCAATCAAAGGTATAGCTACCTGGAATCAAATACGCGATCCACTTGCAAAGGTTCGCAAACTGCAAGCTATGGTTACGAGCAAGATCTGAGCCTAAAGCTCTGATATACCAAACAGAGTTTGCAAATCAGAAAGAGCTGAATTTCTAACGAGAGAATATTCCTAAATTGGGACACAAGCAAAGTTCTGAAACTTACAATTCTCAAATGTCAAAAGTTATTATGTCAACACCTAACCACCTATTTATAGACAAAGACTAGCCTCAAATCATACTAACAACAAAAACTACTCACATCAGAAAACCTTAGAATACCTGACATCCTGTTATATTTCTATTGAAAATGATTTTCATTCATTTTAACTTGTTTTTCTCTTGTTCATTGGTTTATTTCTACCTAAAGAGATCACCATTGTATTATTCCCCTATTCTTCTTGTATGGTTTTTTTCACATTTTTTAAAAAAGAACCACAAAAAAGGGCAAAAAGGTCCATGCAACTTTCATAATGCAAGTAAAAATAAATTAAAGTAATGACTTGAAAAGTGACAAGCTAATAAACCTCAATTTGATATTTCTTCTACCTCACCTTCTTAAAGCATTGCTGCAGAAAATCAGTGATGTCAGGAGATAAACCATCTGGTATTGGAGGTTGCTCATCCTGAAAGAACAAGAAGAAAATTCAAGTTTCTGTTTGCTATTTCAGAGATTATGTAATTAATCCAGAATCTTAAATCTTCTCCAGTTGAATTCCGAAGGAAGAAAGTAATACATCTGGATGACACCCATCCATCAGGAAAAACAGAACATCAGAAGGGGAAAAAAAAAAGACATAAAGATCATCAAATAACATCACATAACACAGCATTACTTCCTCATCATGATATGACATAGCAAGCAACTGCTGAAAAACAATAAAATAAAAATAAAAAATAATTTTAACAAAACCTGCACAATCCTGAAGAGAGCAGGCATGGGTTGGAGATCATAGTATGGAGGCACACATGTAAGAAGCTCAATCACAGTGCAGCCAACACTCCATATGTCAGATGCAGCACAGACCCCAGACATCTCAATGACCTGAAGCATTGTCAATTTCAGTGATAAGGATTGATGCACCTTCATGATCACATCACAAATCTGAGCCATTTATCTTTCCGATTCACAATATTAGATGAACATGAATAATGTGGACTTTAAAGCATACTAAAAGCATATATCCTATTGATTGCTGAAATGGACACCATGATTTGCATAATGATGTCCCTAAAACATTTGAATGTGGTTTCTTAAGTTCATTGTGCAAACTACTATGAAACTGACAAAAGCAAAACTATAATAACTGCAACCAACATTGAAACATAAGATGCAAATCACTAAATTAAGAAAAAGAGTATACAAAATATATGACAAAATCAACACTGACCACACATATTCTTGATTGCACACACAAAGGGGACCACAGATATTAAGTTAGTTTAAATCGAAGTACATAAAAGACTTAAGCTAAATAATTTCAAGTAATCATAGAATCAAATTGGTCCAACAAGTCCAAGAATAACTAGGGGGGGAAAGTGCACACAAAGGACTCCCAAATTATTTCTTTAAAAAAATAAAATTAAAAATGAATTCCACAATATCAGAACAGGTAATATCAAACTATTGTATAAACAATAACAAGAGAAAAACATGCAAACAAGAACGCAGAGACTCCACATAGCGAAATATTTTGGAAAGAAAGAATTTCGAACCAATCAAACTATGTTGTTCATTTAACCAAAACCAATGAAAAAGAAAAAATGTCCCTTTAAATCCATACTAATCTCATTATTTCTTAAGTAAAATTTCACGGGATAATGCAAGAAAAGATGATCAATGCTTTCTTCATCCCCCCTACACAAAATGCACCATTATGGGAGCAAAGAGTAATTGGGTCTCCTTAGAAACAATCCATTTGCTTTAAATCTTATTAAGAGCCAAAAACCATGGAAGCACTCTTACATTAAAATGGCACAAGCATTCCAAATCACAAGGATCAAAAGGAGGAATGAGTAGACCACACACCCTTCTATCCATAGAATCATGTCTCAAAGAAAAATATGAATAATAGTGAACAAGAATACCAAATCACTAGCCTAGACTCACACTCAAGTTTAGACACAGGACTCCCTGGCATTTAGATTTCTAAAACAAATTGAAAATCCAAGAAATGGGATCCTTAAGAAAACAAGCAATAGACACATTATGCGAACGAGGTAGACGATACAAACATCAAAACAAATCTTAGTTGCACGAAACGAGAGCGGGAGCGGGAGCGGGAGCGGGAGCGGGAGAGGGAGAGCGTGGCCACTTAGAAGAATCGTAGGTTAGGAGCGCTTATGTATTATTTTATCGATAATATTTTTAAATTATCTATATGAACTTTTTTTTTTTAATTGACATGCATAAAACATATTTTTGGGGGCATTATTCAAATATATTAAAGTTTCATTGTTTTATTTATTTTTATATAATATGTTTGTTTTTTAATGGGCTTTGATTGTAATATAATTAGTATTTAGTATCCAATATTTTTTGAATCTGCAAGCTAAGACCAACTATAGGCCCAACGAAGCCCATTGAACTTTTTAAATGAAAGCCCATGACCATCTAGGTCAAAATAAAAAAAAAAATACTATGTTTAAAAAAATATATAAAAATAAAAAATAAAGAGGGAAGGATAAATCCAGCAAATAAAGTTGGCAGCTCTATCGTCTTCTCTCTCTTCAAAGACTGGTCTGATTCGAAGGTTCCTTCGACTTCTCCCTCGGTCTCGTTTGCTTCATCTATTTTCAAAAGGTATGCCATCTTTCTTCTTCTTCTACTCCATATCTGATATCAGATTCTTTTTTTTTTTCTTCTCTCAAACGGATCTTCATATCTACTTTTTTTTTTTTTTTGCTTTTGGAGTTCACCACCGTTTCCATCTGGAAAGAAACGCATTTCTCTCCCAAAAGAGTCGTTTCTTACACGTTTCTTCCTAAGAAACGCAGCCTGGATGCACGATTCCTGCAACTAAGAAACAAATGAGAAAAATAATCATCCCCAATCCAAGTATCCTCCCAAAAATGAATGTTCCCCATTCCCAACCATAAAACAAATGAATTGTGAGAAATTATCAGTTCTCTGAGAAATGTACTTCCATGGATATCTAGAATTTCCCCAATAAGCCTCATTAGAATCTCAAACATTGGATTGAGTCTCCTACTTGCTTTTAATCACGGTATGCCATAAAGCATCTCTCTTTTTTTTTGGGTGAATAATGAAGCATCTCTCTTGTTGGGGAATCTCCATAACCATTTGCCTAATGATGCTTTATTCTTAGCAATAATGATTCCAATGGTAAGACCCGCTTTACATTTTGGTGGGTCTAAATACTCCCACTTCCCTCATCACAACCCTCTCATACACCCACACACACAAAAAAAGAAAAAACCCTAGGCAATTTTTCAATTTTGTCAACCACACTCATCAACATCTTAAATATAGGTAATAAACAAAAACATTAGTCAAAACTGATTAAGCCAAAGTGTGCCTGTGAGAATATAGTCATATCTATTCTATATATTAGTATATATTCTATATATATTTATAGTAGGCATATTTGATATCCCTTTGATTGTATAAGGATTCTATTTCATTTTTTTATCTTGGTCTTAGGGCTATATAAATAGTTGTGTACTATGTAAATATACAATTGAATATGCAGTTTCATTCAGAAAACTTACATGGTATCAGAACCAAAACCTTAGGTCTGGCCTTGATTATTCGAAGTTCTTTCTCCTCGTTCGAACTTGTTCGAAGTTCTCTCGGTGGTTCTGCGAAGTCGCAACGGTTTCTTGTCTCTAGGTTAAAGTCGCGACTCTCTATTCTAGGCATGATCGCAATCGCAAGGGCCGTCATCTCTTTCTCTAGTTTAGAAACTCGATTCGGCACTCATCGTGGGTCATCATTTATGTTCAATTGAAGACTTTAGTCTCTGATTCTAGTTCGTTGGTATCGATCGAAGCTGCCATCTCTCTCCTGGGTCGTTGGTCTCAATTGAAGCTTCAGTCTCTCTCCCTGTTCTATCGCGATTCGCGACCCATCGCGACTTCTCTAATTCGTCTCTCTCTCTCTCTGTCTCAATTGCGGTCTCTCCTCCTTTCCTCCTTTGCTAATTCAATGTGTTGATGTGGTTATAAAACTTTTATTTACATTTTAGCCCCTCTGTTTGTGATTATCTGGTTACTTGGAACAAATCTTTTTTTTGTGTTATTATACTTCAATCCATTAGTTCTATTTTATTATAATGTCGAACACCAAAATCCAAGCCACTAAATGCAAATTCACTGGTACCAATTATGCTTATTAGGCCAGTGTTATGAAGAATTTTCTTGGACAAGAAAAAATGGGACTATGTTTCTGGTTCTGTTCCTCGTCCATCGGACTCAAAAGTAAACGGATATCTGACTTCCTGTGACTCTTGGGATTGTGATAATGCCCAAATTCTGACCTAGTTTCATAACTCTGTGGATGACCGTATTAAAATGATGTTTTCCAAATATAGTACTGCCAAGGAGGTGTAGGATTATTTACAGAGTGGTTATCAACAGTCCAACTTTGCCAAGCAGTATGAGTTGGAAACAGCTATTCAGAGTGCTCGTCAGCGGGATCAATCTATTCAGGACTTCTATATTGAGATGACAGATCTCTGAAATCAGTTAGCTCTTATGGAACCACCTAGTCTCAAGATACTAGAAGCTTATATTGAGTTTTGGGAGCAGGGTCATTTAGTGCAGTTCTTAACGGTTCTCTCCCCTCAGCATGAGGCTATCCGAGGTGACGTCCTTCACCGGTCTCCTCTTCCCTCTGTGGATGCTATTGTTCATAAGCTCCTCTCCGAGGAAACCCGTCTTAAAACGGCTAGTCAGACTTTGCCTCCTTCTGTCTTCTTAGCTCCTGCTAAGCCTCCTTTATTATCGACCCCACCTCTCATTAGCTTCAGGTCATTGCGAAACCCAAGAAAGGACTATTAGGTCCAAATGAGTATGCTTTCTACCATCAAAAAAATCATTGGAAGAACAACTGTCCCAAAAAGGGACGTCAGCCTGCTCCGTCTTCTCAAACACAGTTCCGTGGTCCTACTCCGAGTACTTTCCAACCTCCAGAGTTATTAGGTCCAAATGAGTATGCTTTGATCTTGGTGTCTCTCATCATATGACTCCTCACCTTTCCTTACTTCAAAATTGTATTCCCTCACCCATTCCTGTTACTATTACTACTGCTAATGGGTCCAGTATGTCTGTTCTATCTATTGGGTCTGACTTACCCTCTGCCATGTCTGCTGTTACTATTCCCTCTATTCTTTATGTCCCTCAGCTATCTGTTAGTTTATTATCTATCAGTCAACTTGATGCTTTAGGTTTTGATGTTATCTTTTCCTCTTCTGTCTGTTGTGTGCAGATTGGGTGTCCAAGAAGCAGATTGGGACCGACCGTAGAGTTAGAGATCTCTATGCGATAAAAAGCTTACATCTCCCTTTATCCACCTCTCCAGTTGCACTTTCCTCGTTTCAATTAGATTCTCAATCGAATCAGTTTTATTTATGGCATTCTCGCCTAGGTCATTTGTCTATTGACTATTTATGGTCTTTAGTTCAGTCAGGGTTGTTGAGTAAAGTTTCTCCTAGTCAAATTGATGAATGTCGGGGGTGTAAACTTGTCAAAATGTCAGTTTTACCATTTAATAAAAGTATTTCTACTTTTGTTTCTGTTTCTGCATTTTCTCTTGTGCATACTGATGTCTAGGGACCCTCTCATGTTCTTACAAAAGGAGGTTCTGCATATTATGTATCTTTTGTTGATGATTTCACCCGTTATACTTGGGTTTATCTTATGACTCAAATCTAACTTCTACCAAATATACCGTAACTTTCAGTCTATGATCACTACACAATTTGGGTTTACTATTAAATTGTTACGATCTGACTTAGATGGGGAGTATTTTAAAACTAAATTATGGGAGTATCTAGCCAATTTGGCTACCATTCACCAAACTTCTTGTACTGATACACCCGCCCAAAATGGTCGTGCTGAGCGTAAACACTGTCATCTCCTTGAGACAGCTAGATCTCTCCTTTCAGCTTATGTTTCGGCTCCCTTTTGAAGGAAAGCCGTTCTTACAGCTGCTTTTCTTCTCAACTATATGCCTACCCCCTACTCTCTGATCGTTCTCCTTATGAGACTCTATTTTCCCAACTCCCCAATTACTCTCTCATTCATGTTTTTGGGTCTGCATGTTTTATCCTTCTTCCCCGAAAAGATAGGACAAAACTTAGTGCCCAGTCTATCCTGTGTGTCTTTTTGGGTTACAGTGTTACTCAAAAGGCTATCGTTGTTACAATCCTATTTCCTGCAACCTTTATGTCTCCCAGCATGTTGCCTTCCTGGAACATCTAGCTTACTTTCAACTTCCTCCTTTCACTGCTCCGATTTCTAAAAAGGATTTGGTTTACATTGATCCATTTCCTTCTTAGGTCCTTCCTAATGAGTACATCTCTATTGTTCCCTATGAGCTTGTTCGTTCCTTCTTCTCCTCCTACTACCCTTTCTGCTGAGTCCTTCTCCACTGTCCCCCATGAGTCTGTTTCATCCTCTCCACCTCTTCCCCCACCTGCTCCTTCTCCTCCTCCATTGTTAGTCTATTCTCGTCGCAAGACTCTCCCTCCACCAATTGTCTGTGCCCCTGCTTCTGACAACTCTAATCTTACTAACCGTAAGTATTCCTTTCGCATCCATAAACAGGTAGTCAAACTTAGTTTTGTTAGAACATGTATTTCTCTTTCATATTATACGTTTTTATCCGCTACTCACTCTTTTTCAGAACATTAATCTTACAAGGAGGTCTGTCAAGATCCTAATTGGATTCAAGCTATGGAGTAACAGTTTGTCTACATTGCAGGAGACCAGTACTTGGAAGCTGGTTCCTCTGCCTGCTGGGGCAAGAATCTGATTGGTTGAAAATGGGTCTATAAAGTCAAGACTCATTTTGATGATTCTCTCGAGCACTATAAAGCTCGCCTAATTGCAAAGGTTTCTCACAAGAGTATGGTATTGATTATGAGGAGACATTTGCCCCTGTTGCCTAGATGACTATTGTCCGTACTTTGATCTCTGTTGCTGCTATTCGTCATTGGCCTCTTTATCAGATGGATGTTAAGAATGCTTTTCTTAATGGCTATCTCACTGAGGAGGTTTATATGCGTCCTCTCCCTAACCTTCACCATTCCTCTTAGACAGATTTATCATCTTCGACGTGCTTTGTATGGTTTGAAGCAATCTCTTCATGCTTGGTATGATCGCTTTCAAACAGATGTTACTAAGCTTGGGCTTCATCCTTGTGCCCATGACTCTGTTTTGTTTCAACTCTACACCTCTAATAGTTTTGTTGCCTTATTACTGTATGTGGATAATATGATAATCATTGGCTCTAACTCTTCTGCTATCTTTAAGGTCAAGCAACATCTCTTCCGCACTTTCGAAATGAAAAATCCGAGACCATTGTGATATTTTCTTGGGTATTGAGGTGGCTTCTTCTCCCAAGGGCTACTTTTGTCTCAAGCCAAGTATGTCAATGAAGTTATTCACCGTACCAGTCTTACTGACACTAAGATTTTTGATACCCCCATTGAGCTTAATGCGAAGCCTAACACTACTAATGGTATCCTTCTAAATGATCCTACTTTATATCGAGAGCTTATGGGTTGCTTAGTCTATCTGACGGTTACTCGTCCTGATCTTGCCTATGTTGTTCATATGGTTAACCAATTCGTTTCTACTCCTCGCTCTACCCATTGAGCTGCTTTGCTTCGGATTTTTCGCTATCTTCGTGGTATTATCTTCCAAGGCTTGCTGTTGTCTTCTACTTCATCCTTGGATTTGATGCCCTATGTTGATGCTGATTGGGCTGGGGATGTTAATGATCGTAAGTCCACTTCTGGTTTCTGTATGTTTCGGTGATTCCTTGATTTCTTAGAAAAGCAAGAAACAAACTGTTGTTACCCATTCTACTGCCAAAGCTGAGTATCATGCTATGGTTCATGCTACTACTGAAGTTGTCCAAGTTCGTTGTCTTGGTTTGTTGTCTCTTATCTAATTTGGTTGTCCCTCAATCTTCGCCAACATCTCTCTACTGTGACAACCATAGTACTATTCAAATCGCCCATAACACTGTTTTTCATTAATGGACGAAGCACATTGAGATTGATTGTCACTTTCTCCGTCAGCATCTGTAGTCTGACTCTATCTCACTTCCATTTGTCACTTCGTCATTGCAACATGCTGATTTCTTTACCAAAACTCGCACCACTGCTCGGTTTCGGTTTCGGTTTCGGTTTCGGTTTCGGCAAGACAAACTCTCCGTGTTTTCTACTAAAACACCATGAGTTTGAGCGGGGGTATGAGAATATATTCGTATCTATTCTGTATATTAGTATATATTCTGTATATATTTATATTACGCATGTTTGATATCCCTTTGTATAGGGATTCTATTTCCTTTTTTTATCTTGGTCTTAGGGCTAAATAAACAGTTATGTACTTTGTAAATATACAATTGAATATGCAGTTTCATTCAGAAAACTTACAGTGCCTACCCCTCCCCTAAAATCAGAACTCTCTTCCAACCCTGCAATCTTTTCCCAATCTTCTCAATGATTGGACTCTAAAATCAATACACCTAAGTTTACCACTTAACAACAGTAACACCAACTACTTGCAAGGCAAGGACTCAACGAGACACCCTAACACAGTAGCCAACAATTTAACAGCCACAATAGTACTTCCATTCATATTCACCCCAAGACCAGAAACCACCTCAAAAAATCCTTAGAATGGAAAACAAACTATAATGTTATGTTCCTTATATTTTTTATAAGAAACCATAGAAAACTGGAGAAATTTGAACAAACAATTTTTACGGCAATCAACCTTGCAAAAAAAATATATATATATTCGTTGATAAGAGATGTTAGTAAGAATATGTAGATAACAAACAAAAGGGATGCATGATTTTAATTGATTTCCAAATTTTTGTTAGTAAGAATATAATTTCTTACAACCATGTGCATACATGAAAATTCACCCACCCACCCACCCCACAAAATATGTCGATCTATCACTGGTTACTGGTCCCCAACAGAATGCAGAAACAAAACCTTTTTCATGCTTTCGAAGATTCAGTGTTTGTGGACAATGGACAAAAGATATCAAAATCAAACCCAATAAAAGGAAAGGAAAGGAACAGAAAAAAATTAAAACTCTGGCTGAAAAGATAAAAACAAGAATGCTCCCACCATCATTCCGATCAAAAATCAAGCTGGAATACTGATAAAGAGATTATTCAAGTAGTACCTCAGGGGCCATCCAATAGGGTGTTCCAACAACTGAATGTGTATTAACATCTGCCTCGGTTAGTTTTGTTGCAACCCCAAAATCTGCAAGTTTCACAAGACCCTGAAAGCATAAATTAGTTCAACCAAGTACTCTGCAAAAGCCATCTAAAAGAAAAAAATGGAAAAAAACTACACCATCTTAAATAATCCAATAAAACAAAATCAATGAGCAAAGTACATGACTGGCACTTCCGAATGAAAGTGAATATTCTGAGCAAAAATAGGCAGCTGGAGAAACTTCTAAAAATTTACTTTATTAAAACCTAATGCATGAGATGGGGACTTAATGCAGATCTAAGGTTACTTAAAATTCCTATTAACCCTCATTTGCAATAAACCAAAATTTTAATTCATAAATCACTGCCACCCCAGTTAACCCTTAACATCCTCCTGCACCTATAAATTTATAAATTTATTAACATCTACTCAACCATTCGCTGCAGCCCAAAATAATCAGCAGTCAATTAGCAACCTAAACAAGTGGCACATCAAACCTCCTAAAACAATGAAATAAATAAGACCCAGCTCCTACAAAAGTAAAATATATAAGACTCAGATATAACAATACATGTGAAAAAAAGAAGTCGATGATCGCACCTCTCACAGAAGTTTTTGCCATTGTAGAACATGCAAGATGAAAATGATATTAAAAAATTAAAAATTAAAAAATTAAAATTAAATGAATTGAGTTTTGACACAAGAATATCAAATTGAATGATAAAATAGTGTTTGTGTGTGTGCGTGCGCGTGTGCATGTGCGTGTGTGTGTGTGTGTGTGTGTGTGTGTGAGAGAGAGAGAGAGTAATGAGACATGTCTTTTAGCCAACTAAAGCTGAAACAGCAACCAAAGGAAGGTGCCAGCTAAGCTAGCCAGGCACACCAAAGACCTGGAATTGAGTCCCATCTTTATTTGGCTTGGAAGGGATAGAGGGATTCGCAGGCTCAGTGCAGGCTACCAGCTATTCTGTAGCCCATCACCCTTGAACAAAAAATGAATAAACAAATCACTAGCCAAATATTTCAAGAAAACCACAGAACAATACCTCTTTGGTTGTTAATATATTTGCACCCTTGATATCCCGATGAATTACACCCTGTTCATGTAGATAAACCAAACCTTCCAATACCTGGTCACAAGCACAAAGTTATCAAAGTTAAGCACAGGATGAAGTCATTAAACTATAAGGTTACAAGTATACCTGAGCAATATACACGACCACCAACGATTCTGGAAATGGTCCGAATTTATTTGGCTTAATAATATTTGCAAGTGAGCCATTCTCTACATACCTATGCAAACAAAATTCAAAACATGATCACATAAGTTTTCAACACATAGTTTGTCTAAAATGTCAGGACTGAATCTGTTAAACGAAAGGGAATTCAACTAAACTTACTCAAGAATTATGTGAAGATGAGTCTTCGTCTTTAAGGATCCAAGATATTTCACAATGTTCTTGTGGTTCAAATTCTGTCACAACAGAAATTTACAGAAGTCCCATAAATAGCATACTGAACATCCACAGATTCCAAATTTATCGCAAGCCCCATAAATAGAAAAATTGAGTCTCTACCTATGTTACACGAACTCTTCAAAATAAATCAAATACTTGTGTCAGACACCCAACACTCGAACAAGGGTATAGGATATGTGCTGGATAATTTTCAACGGATACTTCTTCTATTTTAAACAAATAGCCAAAAAGTTATACTGTAGCTGAGTTTCTCTTTTTTTTTTTCTTTTTTTTTTTTAATCAGAAACTGACGATTTTGCTGTGCAGTGTATATTTGAAATTATGACTGTGCAGTGTATATTTGAAATTACAATTTTGCCCTTTTACTTTTTGACTAACTCACCAACTTAGCATTCCAACCCACGGGGGCACTTTAGTCATTTCATATCCCAACATAATCATAATCGAAGTCAGGCACAGCTCCATCACGCCATGCACGACTTTTGGGGAATAATTTAATTATTTTTTATCTAAATATCCTTTCAAACACATTTTTCAATACAACAACTCAAATAAAAATCCAACCCAACTTCAGACACACAAAAACTAAAATAGCCTACTAAAATAGTCAAAAAAGCCTCTAAAATAGCCACTTCCCAAACACCCACATTGTATATAACACTATTATTATATGTACGTATTGTTGTATAATTGCTATAAATGTCTTTTTGACATTGTAAGTTACATAGAGCACCATTTTATCTCACATACTTAATTAAAAATATAAAATTATGACATTTTTTTGCTGAGTCTGCATACCCTTAAATTTATAGTTTGATGAGTACGACCTCTAGATACATACTCGCACCCGACACCCGTACTTGAGTCCATGTAACACAGGTCTCTACATTAGGTGCTGTGTTTTGCTTTTCCTTTAGTGTAACATATACAAGTGGCACCCCCTTCATGTTGTTTCTCAATGTGCTTTTAATTTAAAAAACAAATAGAACTGTTGTTATGCAACTCAAACTCAATTCATCTAGTTTTAGCAGAATAGATAATCAAGTACAACATATAGCTATCCAACAACAGTTTAACAACACCATATACGAGCACAAGGAAGTTGCAGAACGAATATTTAATATTCCAAAATTTTAATAACACCAGTAGCTTTCATATATGTAAGACTAGAATCAAACACTGTAAGTCTGTAACTGTTCTAATAAGGGGGGAGGGGGGGGGAAGGAGTTCCACAGAGCCCCAACCGAGAGGCTAAGTAATAAAGTTTCAGCATATCTCACAGCAGTAACATTTGAAAGTCAAATATTAGCCCAAAAGCCAGTCGAATGTGCATATTTTTCTCCAACAGAAACACACATTATATTTCAGAAATTCAATAAAGAACAAAATTTTAATAGCAATGTAAGAAGAAAAATTACCTTGAGCAGATCAATCTCTTGCTGAGAAGTAAAATCATCCCATCAACAACAGAGAATTCAAAAGGAAAGCAACAACTTGTTAGATTCAAAGAAGAAACAAAATGCTACACATTATAAAATTATGTACATAATCGAAAGGGACTAATATGTTGGCTTTAACAGTAAAGAAATATCACCACAGTGCTCCAAACTGCAAACTAATCCCACGGGAATCACAAGCTTCATTTCATAATACAATAATACATGCACAAATATGTGAACATGCACTACATCAAGGAAAATTGAAACTGCAGTTGAATTTGACACAGAAATAGAGTAATTGAGAGAGATATTAACTATTTATCTAGCTTCTCAGAGCTAGCGTTGAGATTCTTTGTTTAACTTACATCTGCTCCAAAAGGCAAACAAAATTATCAATCAGTCCAGACACTAAGGAGTTGCCAATGAGGTATAAGAAATCTTTTTACTTTTTTTTTCTTTTTTTTTTTTTTTTTTTTTTTTGATTTGCAATTCAATAAACCAGAATGAAAAATACCAAAGGGCACAACAGGGGTGCAGAGTCCCTAAAAGAGAAGAAAAAAACAAAAGCAAAATTGCACGTCACACAATATCTCTCCAATCTCTATTAATTTTTTTTTTTTTAAAAAAAAGGCATCCCCGTAAAATGATTCGATTGTATAAGGTTGTGCCCCCTCGAAACCCTTCACTAATACAATTTTATCTTTTAGCCAATAAAAAATAAAATAAAATAAAATATCCCTTTAAAAGGAGAAGAGAAGACATTGATGCCCAATAATTACCAAGCATGGCAACATAATGCACAATATTACCAATGGCTAAACCCCTTTATCATTGTGAAGCATGGCCCAAAGCACTATGCACCAAGAATGAAAAGGCTCCTCAATTTGGACCTTGTTATTGATTAATGAGCCCATGTCACTTTGGGCACTTCAGTTACCATTAGGCTAAATCCTTTCGAATTCCTTAACCAACATCATATTTGAATTTGACTTATTAACTTCAACCCAAAAAGCTCCACCCATATTTGCAATTAAATAATAGCCATGAATCAAGACCCTCTTTGTAATCCTAATGAATTCACCACTTGAAGACTGGTCAATCTAAAAATAAAAATCTTTTGTTCAATCTTGAAATCCCTATCTTTGTTCTTGTACATGGGTTCGAACAACATGGTGTTCAAAGTGGACCAAAGAAAGGGCTAAAAAGTAAGGATACAAATACAAGACGCAAATAAGATATTATACAAACGCGCCAACAAGGCAATTTTCAAGAAAACGAAACAAGACTGTGGGTGAGGTATGGTCATCAAGTAAACTCCACTTGAGAAATTAAATAAATATATAGATATAGTTAGATACATAAATCCCACAATAGTCTATAGTTGTAAGTTTTCACTCCCAATAATAAACATCCAGGGGTATTCAGCTAGGTTTTTAAGCCAAATAAATTATAAGTCTGACAAGTACTGAGTATACAAATGAAACAACAGGGCCAAGATGCCCAGAAAAATATAAATCATTTTTCAAGTCCAAATGTCCTAACATAACATAAATAATCAAGAAAGAAAGAAAGCAAAAGGACAGATAGTAGGAGTGACTAATATTGTACCATGATAATATTGAGATCCTCCTGCGCAATATTTTCCAAAGAAACCTGTTTAATTGCAACAAAGTCTCCATTCTCCAAATCCAAACCCTTGTAAACTCGACCATATGCTCCTTTCCCAATCTCATCTCCAAAAATCTTCAATTGAAAACAATAGCATTAATGTAACAACCGAGACATTCTTCCATGACATAAACATACATTATCCATGTTTGTTTGTTTGCATCTTGCATTAGTAGCCTTGATAAGAAATGCTTAGAATAAAACTTAAAAATATGGTAGTTCGGAAAGTTAGAACATATGAGCTTCCTTATTTTGTTTTAAGAGTTAGGGGATAGTCTTCTTTTGAACTTAGTGTGTTACTATATGATCCAAAATCCCAATCATATCTCTCTTTATAGTTGGAATATGTGAGACCACCACCACTAGAAACTAGACTTCTAGAGCTTCAATTTAGATATAAATTTTGCTTGGTTTCGAGTTCGAATGAGAAAGATATGCCCTTTTGAAGTTAACCTCACAAATAAAGCGAGCATTCTAGAGCAAAGAGGACGACTAGCCAGTCAACCAGTCAGAGTAAAATTTGATTTCCAGCCTTCTGTTAGCAGACTCGAACACCTAGAAACCTTGATAACACATTCTGGGACACTTGAGACTTGTTTTAAGACTTAGGAAAGACTCTGATTAATATCCTAAACCTTCTACTAAAGGTAAATGAATTGGAATTGGAAGGACACTTAAATTAATCTCAAACTACTTAGAATTTGTGCAAGTTAGAACAAAACTTCAATGGCCCCGTTTGGTGTACCTGTTAAAACAGCTTATAGATTATAACTTTGTGCAAGTTAGAACAAAGCTTCAATGGCCCCGTTTGGTGTAGCTGTTAAAACAGCTTATAGATTATAACTTAACAGATTATAGATTATGACTTTAATCAGAAGTTGTTAATCTGTTTGGTGTACCTGTTGGATTATAGATTTAAGTTGCTGAGTAGTGTTTGTTAAATAAGCTGTGAAATAGCTTTTTCAATTAATTTTTATTTTTTGTTTGTCTACATTTCTCATAAAAAATAATAATAATAATCTATAGTCCATTTGAGTATTTTTCTATTTTTAAAAAAATAAAAAATAAAAAAATTTAAGAGTATAACCATAAATTAACATGTCCACAGCAGAAGCTGATAATCAGAAGTAAGGGGTGAGTAGCTTCTTAGAATCAGCTTTTTTAAGTTAAAATAAGCTGTTAGAATCAGAAGCTGTTTGAAATAAGTTTAACCAAACAATCCAAAATAACTTTTTCAAAGCTAAAAGCCATACGTTGGCTCTGAAAAGCTGAAACAAACACCCCCAATGGATATTATTTCGTGTGCTTGTGTATGTTCAAACTCTTGTGGATCATCCTCATTTGTAAGAGCCATTGGTGAGTAGTATTATTTTAAAGCTATGTTCAACTTTTATATTTTTTAAACTCAAATTACGACACACTTTGGAATACCCTGAAATATTTGTTACAAATACATATCCTATGTTCATGTATGAAAAGTAGAAAGATGGCATCCTCGGATTTAGTCAAGCTACTGAAGGATGGTAAACGTGCTAGTAGCGGTCGTTGAAATCTCTTATGCCACCTGGGGGTTGGTTGTGTAAACGGTACCCGGGCGGGTTATACACATGTCTTGTATGTTTTGATGGATATGCATTATAATGATTTGGAAATATAATACATTTGGAAAAGATATGATTGAGCTTGCTAGGGCTTTTTATAAATGTTAATGTTTTCGGAAAACTTGTTGATATTCATTCATCTTACACCTTTAATAGTATTCATTGGGCTATAGCAACCCTCTCCGCTAAAGAAGACTTGCGTTTTTGTTAAGCTTTGTACATAATGTTTTGAGATGAAAAAAGAGTATAGGGATCAAAACAGGCTTAACAAACAAGAGAAAATGTCATCCAAATCGTGAAATGCACATGAAATTGAAACAGAATTGAATGTTATATTCTAATTTTTGTCCGAAAACTAAAACCCTAGAGAAATTGAAAGATCAAAACACATACAAAAAGAAGCATTCTTACGTATTTGTTGTCGAGAGTCTTGGGCTTGTGGAAAGCGGTCATTGCCGGCTGCCGCGACATGTTATTTACAAATATGGCTTCTCTCCTCCTCTCCTCTCTGGAAATCTTTATAATTATTGTTCCATTGTCAGCTGCTGGAAGAGTGAAACGCTAAATTCAGGTACGAATGATCGAAGACCAAGAAGACGACGACGACGACGATAATCGAGAGAGAGAGAGAGAGAGCGAACGAGGTCAATAGTCGCAGGACGCTCCGATTGTGTTTTTCTTTTCTTCCCTGTCAGAAATAGACGATCAGGTTTTGAGAGTACACTTTTTGTTGGGGCCAAATTTGGTTTTTCCGTTCTGAAAATTGAGTTTTTCGTAATTTTTTTATTTTTAATAAATGTTTTTAAAATTTTAAGTAATTTTTTATTTTTTTAGATATATTTTATTTAGAAGTATTTAAAATATAAAATATTTATAAAAAAATTATTTTAAAAAAATAATAAATACATCAAAATATGAAAATGTATTGAATTTTCATTTTTGATATATATATTTTAGATATTTAGTGAATTTTTTATAAATTTTTTATAAATATTATACTTTTTTAGTGTACTTATGTTAGATGTATTTAAAAATTTTAAAAATTGGTTAAAATATTTAAAAAATCCAGTGAAGATAAAAAAAAAAGAGGAATTTTTTCTTATGGTCCCTAATAATAGTAATTTAAAGAATAAATGACACCAAAAAAAATGGATGATGTATCAGATCCCTCAACTGAACACATGTATTTTTAATTTTTTCTTTGATCAAAATACCCTTCACAAATCAACAAATAACACTCCACTTGATTCCGACGACTCAGTTCCATTCCAAAAATCCAACCATCTTCACGAGCAAAAAAACAAAAGAATTAGGGTTTCACAATCATCTTCACTATCGACATTACGGTTTCATTATCTTCTGCCGAGATCTTTTTCATTCCCTCCTTACAAATTTCTCAGACCTATTTTCATTATTCATTGTCATTTCAGTTCATCTTCATCTCATTGTATCTTCATCTCAGGGCATATCAGTTCGTAATTAATGTTTCATCATCACTCTAGTAAGTTTCTACAATCCAACGAGTTTTTCTTTAGAAACACAATTAATTGCATATTATATTAGCCTTCCATTTGTTAGGGTTTCAATTTCGTAATAAAAAACTACATGAATTTGAAAAATGTTATTTCTCTAAGTTTTGAACTTAATCTTGAAGATGTTTGTGTGATTTTGTTTGTAAATTTCTCTGGTATTGGCTTAATCTATGTTTCTTCTTTGAATTTTCTCTGGCATGTTTATTCCCTCATTTTCTTTGGCATGGTTAATTTATCTGTATTTCCCTGTGTAATTTTTAAATACAATTCATTCAAATTTCTCTACTCTATAAATTTCTCTGGCTTGCCATGTTTAATTTTCTCTGGTATGTGTCATTTTTATTTTCTGTGCTTGCTAGATTTATGTTTCTTTCTTGAATTTTCTCTGGTTATGTTTTACATCTATATATAATACTACTCTCTTGTCTGTATCTAAATTTCTTTGGCATTTATAATTTTCTCTAGTCACATCACTTTTCTCCCTTGTGCGTCTCTATCATATTTAGATTTCTCTGGTTGTGTATGTAAATTTCTCTAGCATTTTAATATTATTGAATGAAAATTTTCTTTGGAATGTGTAATTTTCTTTGGAAAGTGTTTGAATTTTCTTTGGCATTTTCATTTTCTGTGGTTACTAGATTTATATTTCTTACTTGAATTTTCTCTATCTATATTTTGCATCTATATGTAATTTTTATCAATTTTTAAAAAAATTTCTGTCATGCTTATGTTGCTTTGTTTATTCTCTCTAGGAATGGAAATTATCTGTGGCAACATGTATTCCACACGAAAACACTTAGTATTCAATTGTCTATGTCAAAGTTTCTCTAGAATTTATAATTTTCTCTGACCACATTACTTTTATCCCTTGCTGATTTCTCTAGCATGTTTATGTTGTTTTTTTTTTTGTTTTTTTCTAGGAATGGAAATTTTCTGTGACTAGATGTATTCCACATGAAAACAATTAGTCCTCTGACATTTAATTTTCAATGTATAATTTTCTCTGACATTTATAATTTTCTCTGTCCACCTTAATTTTCTTCCTTATGTGTAATTTTCTCTGACATGTTCATTTTTTGTAGCATGTTTAATTTTCTCTGGGATTTAATGTTGACATCTTTATGTTTTCATTGTCTAGGAATGGCGAAACGCAAAAGCAGCAAAACACCAAAAACACTACAAAAGAAATAGAAACTCTCTGAATCTTCTTATGATCTTAGATCAAAAAACAGCAAAACACCACAAACTCCTCACCAAAAAACACAAGTCCAAGGTGATGAAGCAACAAGCATCAAGATGAATACCCCAACTTCAAAAGACTCAAGTTCAAGGGGAAAAAACCTGTTAAACTCCAAAGAATGAGAGCTCATTGCAACATCCAATACCGATCCAACCTCTCATCTATTGTCTCATTTTTTCAAATCCTTAAATTCAATTCAAACCAACTTGAAGAGCTTCAAAAGACTCAATTCTGATATTTGATCCAAGCTCTAACCACTAGAAGGATGGATCCAAGAAAGTCTAAGAAATCTGATGATGATGTAGTTGCAATAATCCAACGTTATAATGAAAAAACGAAAGCATTCACAGTTGATAAAAAAAACTTGACCTTTACAACCAATGACATGACCTTGATTTTTTGTTTGTAAGGTGATAAAGCAGCCATGTCATTAAGATACTCAAAAAGGCCAAAGACTGCATTCCTAAGGCGAAGATTCCCAATGGATACAAGGCTCACTGGTCCTGTTCTTAAGAATGCCTTGGTCAAAGCAATGTAAGGCAAGTAACCAACTGACTTCAAAGATATAATAATCATTATTACCTTGTACTTATGTCTCACCCTATTTTTTGCAACTAGTGGAAATTCAATAGGGTGAGTTTTTATCAAGTATGTGAAACCTCTTGAATTAATGAAGCAGTATGATTGGTCAGAAGCAATCACAGCAACAATGATCGATTTTATAACAGCATTGCACAAAACTCTAGAAAGAGTTACGGGGTGTGTCATTGCATTGCTGGTAAGTAGAATTTCCATTCAAATTTACAGTTATGATACTTACAAATTTGTGTGTTCAGAAAAATTTAATTATTTCAATTTCCATCACAGTAATGGCTATGTGAACATGTGAATATCATTGATTGGGAAGACACCAGTCCACTCTCTTGCACCTCGACAAGTTAGATTTCTATCGCACTGCATTCTCAGTGAAATTTCAAAATTTCTCTAACCACTGGTTTGTTTCCCTCCTTGTGCTTTGATTGATTGAGATCAATTTTCTCTATGATGCGATATCTTATATGGAATAACTTATGTCCCTTGACTGATTGACATCAATTTTCTCTGAAGTTTCAATTTATGCTGCTTCTTTGATTACCACTGGTTTATTTCTACCCTTGTAATGAATTTTCTCTGGAATCTAAATTTCTCTGACCACAATTGTAACACATTAACTTATATGACTTTATGGATTTTCTCTGATATCTAAATTATTTTGTTTGTTTCATAATTTTATCTGGCCCATAAAATTATTTCTCCTTGTATGTAATTTTATTTAGCCCATAACTTATGTGCCTTGACTGATTGAGATCAATTTTCTCTGAAATTTCAATTTGTGTTGCTTCTTTGATTAACACTGTTTATTTCTGCCCTTCTAATGAATTTTCTCTCGAATCAAAATTTCTCTGACCACAATTATAGTGACATTAACTTATCTGCATTGATTGATTTTCTCTAATATCTAAATTATGTTGATTGTTTCATAATTTTCTCTGATCCATAAAATTATGTCTCCTTGTGTGGAATTTTCTCTGGCCCATACAATTTTCTCTGAAGTTTGTTTTGTCATGCCCAACCTTAGGGGTTTAGAGTTGGAATCGTGACCTACTAACTTGTTCTTATTCAAACAAATTAAACTGCGCAAGCGAAAAAAATATACTTAGATAGAAATTTTATTTCATACTACTATTTTTAAAAAAAAAAGAAATACATTTCTAGGACTTTTATTATTTTATTATTCAGTGACCAACCCCGAATAGAGACAAAAGGAAGCAAAAATATAAAAAAAAAGAAAGATAAAATAGTGGTTTAATAGCAGTCTATGAGTAGGGTCCATTTCGTGGGGTTATGGATTTCCCTTACATCTCGTCACCTGAAAGGGTAACAGCTATAAGCACACAGCTGAGTGAGAAATATTATTCCAAAAATGTAGGGAATACAAAATATCCATGGATAACTAGTTAGGCTAAACATTTGCATAATTTAATTTAAAATGACAATTTATTTAAAGTGGCAGAATACAGAAATCATGTAAATAAATAATCATAACCACGGTATAAAATAGAACAGAACAAAGGTCACAGAAGTGACAGTCAAAACAGAGATCAATGGATCCATGACAAACAGAGGACCACAAAGTGGTCAAACGGAGGCTCATGGCTATTTAAGTCCCCCAAGGCGTGGGACTCCTGTGGTGGTACTTACAAAACATAATTATTTAGAAGGTTATAGTCAAATATATACTAAAATTTAAACAACCATATCCATGGGTTTCTTTTTAAGTAAATAGTTCTTTTTGGGATTTGGAATATTTTAATCTTGATCTAATCACGAATCACTTAGATTTTCAATAGTAACCCACGTAACTGAAATATTTATAAACATAACTTAATAAATATAACTTGTTTAAAATAAGCTATGGTAACTCAAAACATTTGTAAAACATATAATGGTAAATCAAGGTATAACATATCTCACCTTAATTGTAACCCTTAGCCTTACTTTACTATCAGAACCTTCTTACTATGAGTTCCTTATACTCACTTACGTACCTCTCTCTCTCAGTTCCTCTCTTTCTCTTGTTCTTTTCGTGTTTTTTTTTTTTCCTCTCCAAGTCGCAACACCTTACTCCTATTTATACTGTTAATCGAGCCATGAGGGGCAGCCACGTACCCCTCTCTCTCTCAAGGTCATGATAATGCTAGGTGTTGAGTTATTAATTGGGGATTCAATATAAGATTTGAATCTTTTTTTGGATAAGATTAAATCTTTTCCTCTGGGCCGTAATTCACCGGCAGCTGCTGGGCTAACTAATTTCCATTTCCTTCCTTTTTTTTTATTCATTTCCTTTCCATTGTTGCTGGGCCCTTTTTTTATTCCTTTTCTTTTTCTCTTTTTTTTTCTTA